AGAAAAAGAAAAAGAAAAAGAAAAAGAAAAAGAAAAAGAAAAAGAAAGGAAAAGAAAAAGAAAAAAAGAGACGCTCTGACAACGAAGCGCAGAGCGTGGGGGATTTGCGCCGCAAGGGAACAGCCGCTCCTTCGGACGAGAAGGACCGCCCGGGAAGCGCAGCGCCTCGTTCTGCGGCTCCCGCTGCGGGGTTCGCTGCTCTGATATCCCCGCACTTCTGCCGAGACGAGATCGGTGCTCGAGCCTGGAAATGTGGGGATGGGAACAAATCGGTGCAGGAAAATCACGGGATGATCCAAAACGAATGCGAGCGAGAACTCGATTTTTACACTGATTTAGAAAGAATTTCCAAGTGCCCTTCCCTTCAAAGCATTAACGGGGTTGGTTAATTCCGCTTTCATTCGTAGAGAACTCGGCGTGTAAAGGTTTTCCCCGGGCCGGGGCGCATCGCCTTGCTGAGCCGCGGCCGCCGGGGGGGGGCCAAGACGGCCCGAGGCGATCCGCTGCCCGGGGCGGACCGCAGCGCTCGGAGTCGCGGGGAGGCAAAGGGTTAACGGCCCCTGAATGCACACCGAGCCCAAAGCCACTGGGAAAGAATATCCCAAAAAATAACCAGTTTTTTTTTTCCAGCCGCTGGACCTTATTGAATGTCATTGAAGAAAGTTTTGAATGCCAGATAAAGAGAGGCGAATTAAAGTGTGTGACAGCAGAGGATAAGCAAACACAAAGAGAACTCTGTCACACTTTGGGCAAAATCCGTGGGCTTTTTACCAAGCCTCTTCGCTATGATTGAATTAAGTAATAGGAAAACATTTTCTTTCAGTTTAGAGCCATTAGACAAAAACTTCAAAGCGAATAACACTTTTTAATGTGCAGCCCGACAATGGAATCTGTTTTGTGCTGAAATGTTTAAACGGTTTGTTGTGCAACTGGGGGCTGAAACAACCCAGACTGCGGCAAAATAGCATCCTTCGGGCCGCTTTCTGAGCGCCTGAAACGAGCGCAGACCTTTCATCCAGGCGCTTCAAACCGCCCTCCCCCGTCCCTGCTGCCCCGCTTGGGGTTGGCTTTATTTTTTATTTATTTGTTTGTTTGTTTGTTTACTTATTTATTTATTATCACCATCATTTTTTTTAGGGGCGATCCACCTCCCACGTTTGCCATCTTGGAGCGATCTCCTCTCAACGAACGCGGCTACGGGAGAAGGGAAAGGCGGAGAGGCTCCGGCGGAGCTATGCGGGAGGCGGCTCCGGGCTGCGGGGCGCGGGTGCTTCCTCCGGTTGAGGAGGGAGAGGGATCCGGTGGGAAGCGGAGCCCAGCCTCGGCCCTGCATCTCCCCGACGTGGGGGTGGGGAGGCGTCGAGTGGGCATCGACGGGGGAGAGGGGTATCGAAATGAAGGGAGGGCTGGGTAACATCGCGGGGAGCGAAGGGGAAAGAGGGGAGCTGCCTTATATTGGCAGGAGTCAGTACTGCTGAGGGATGCTCTCCCTGCAGGGAGCGTTATTTCCAAGGAGACCGCATCCTCGTTAGCTGAGGATTCACGATCTGCGGGCGACTGCAGCCCTCTCCAGCCTCGCACAGAACTGGGTTTTAATGGCAAATACCTAAACGTAAATCAGTATCTGTGCCGTGTGGTGGATACGCCTTTGTGCCTTGGGCAGACACACCCAGCAGCATGTCAAGCCCACAAAGTACCTGTGCATGCTTTTAATCAAGACGTCACAGTCAATGGGAGTTTCTTTGAGTAAACAGGGATGTATTAAAAATAAACAATTCACTGTTTTATCAGCAAAACTGGTTTTTATGTCTACACAGCTGATGGACCACTGGGACCGAGTGATGAGGGCTGGCATCAGCAAGAGGTGGTTCTGTGGGCTGTTTGTGTCACTGTGCAAAACTTATTGTCTGAAAACTGCTGCGTTTATTTTGTGCACTGACTTCAGTCAAAGCTGGAAGTGTTTGGCAACCTCAGAGTCAGAGCCATTCAGAGACAGTGCAGAGAACTCATCTACAGCATGATGAGCATGGAGTGATCCTTCCCTGGCTTACTCCTGGCCTCCAGTGATCCCTAATGTGTGGGCTTCCAGAAACAGGGCTAGTTTCTTCGTGTTTAGTTCTATTTCCTCCATGCTGAAGATAAAGTGCAGCTATCTGTCTTGTCGTCCTTCAACTCTTGCCTGACCTTTCAAAATCATCACTGTATAAACATGGTAACCTAACAGCAACAGCCCGTGCAGCTCTTCTACATCTCTATCATAGTTCCTCTAGTTTCATCTAGCTTTCATTACAAGCTATCAGGACAATAATTAATCTGTGTCAGTAAAACCTGTGCTCCAGGAGGACCAAATCAAAGCTGTCAGTTTCCAGGACCTGCTTCTTTTATTCTTGTCCACTTTCAACAGACAGATTCCTAGAGTTGAGATTTACCATTTGGCTTTTCTCCAGGCCTAATGCTTCCAGACAGTGAGGTCCATAAAGGAACCCTGCACTCATGTTCGAGTGTGCAGAGCTATTTCCTCTCCTTGGTTCAGGCTTTCATGTGGGAGGAGACATCAAAGAAGCAGTTGGACAAAACCAGTGAAAATGTAACAGGAAAAGGAGGGACATGTAAACTACTCACACAAAAATAGCCCTGTTTTGAATCAGTGTTGTCCTGGGAATAGAGAAGGATAAAAAGGATGGAGAAATCTGTGAGAGGAATGAAGACAAGGAACTCCAAAAGAGCTGAATGTGAGATCTGCAAGTCTGCCTGAATTATGGGATTATTTGAGAAATGGTTCTTCTAACTCAGAATCCAACCTATGTCCAGCCACATTTCTCACCTTTGACTGTGCCAAGTACTTTACAGATTGAAAGTTTTCATGTTTCTCAGGCTGTTCTCAAGGAATATCCAATATCCTTTGCCTTTTCATTCAGGATTTGCAGCAGCAATTCTGAAACCTTATATGCAAGAGATGTATGATATATGTATATTGTTATTTTTTAGAGTGGTGAAGCACTGGCACAGGTTGCCTGTGGAGACATTCAAGGTCAGGCTGGAATGAGATTCTGAGCACCTGTTGGAGCTGTAGGTGTCTCTGCTCATTGCATGGAGTTGGACTCCATGGCCTTTAAGGGTCCCTTCCAACTTCAACTTCCATCCACCACCTCCTGAGCAACCTGTGCCAGTGCAGTGCTGCTGTACAGCCACCTGCAGAAGCTGGTGCAGTGCTGGCAATGGAGGAGTGCAGCAAATGGGGCAAGGTGTTTGGGTTTGCTCAGTGGTTGGTACACCACACGTGGAAAGCTGAGCCTGTGAGAAAAGAGGCAAGCTGCTCTGTAACAGGGCAGCTGGTAAAGCAGAGCCTGGATGTTGCAGAAGAAGACAGTGCAGCTTGCTCCTTTCTTTAACGTTGGAAAAAACGCATTCCTCAAGTGATTATTGCACATGAATGTGAAATGACTATCTGATATTTTTATTCAGCTCATGTAAGCCAGAGCTCACCAAGATGTGCTAAGTCTTCCAACTTTCTAGTCCTAGCAGTACACTGGGATGAGAAACGCTGAGATAACAAAACAATTTTCATCTTCTCATTGCATTTTGAAGGCTTAAAACTACTTTTGAAGATAGTATTCAGGATGTGTTATGTCATCCGTGTTTGCATCTGACTGTCTGAACACAAACTTCTATATTATATTATTAAATAGATCAACCAAGTGTACAGGATAGGAATGTATGGCCATGTATGACTGTATTGTACCAATATTTTGTAGAAACCATGTCCTGCAGGTTGAGTAGAGCCATTTGTTGACCTCCTTCTATCTGCATGGAAATTTTCCAATGCACAGCAGGATGTTTTTAGAGATACAAAAAAGCTATAGCTAAAGATATCAGCACAAAGAGCCAAGTCAGCTTATCACAAGTGTATGTGATTGTACTGCTCCTATTTTCCTGTATTCTAAATGCAAGTAAAGCCCACAAACCACATCCTTCTACTTCCCTGTATCTTAGTATAACTCAGTGGTGCAATGGGAATTACTCTAGGCTTGTGTCACTGTAACAGACGAACTATTTTTTAAACTTATTCCAGTACAAGACACATGTGCAGCAGAAGTCAGTGCACAAATTCAGCCTTTCTGTGCCCAAAGTCATCACTCTGATGATGTGAGATTTGTGTTGTCTTCTCTGATTCCACTGGGGAAATCAATAAGCAGGGGAAAACCTGTTAGTTAAGGCTGGGATTTTGCCATGGCAAGAAGTCCCACAGCTGTGGCTCAGGGGCTGTAGCACCTCACAAGCCTGGCATCTCTACTTCAGTG